AAGACATACGACTCAAAGAGTTCTATACATAACTTTATGCATTTTTCACCAAATCAATTATATATATATAATTACACAAGGGGTAAAAATGATGTTTTACCTAATAAGAAGCTAAGATTACACAATGAGAAATTTTAAGCTCGCATTTCATCTAAAAGTAAAAAAAAAAAATTATAAAATTGATAAAGGTGTTATATCAATTAGAGCTGGCGAATGATAAATGAATCTGTAAAAATATGTTTTCCCTAAATTAACCTTACTTTATCAAATAAATTTTGTAATTTAATAATAATATTACAGTCTTAATAATAATAATACAGTAAGGTTCATTATTGTAATGTCAAATATGTAATTTTATACTCATTGTATATGAATTTGGTTTTCTGATCCCGTTGTCGTAAGGGTCTTTCACTTTCCCCACGCGCCCACCAAAACACGCGTTGCACCTTCAAGTCTATTACTATTATTATTAATTAATTCCTATAGGCAATAAGAAATCAATTAGTTCCATATCATATCATATAACTGAACTTTGCTTTCAAATTACTTATATTTCAACTTGATAATATGGACATCTATATTTATATTACTATACAAGAAGGAGTGTTTTTGTAAAAAATGAACTACTTAAAAAATATTTACTTTGACATTTTTTAATGACAAATTATTAATTTATATTTTTAATTATAACTAACATTTACCTAAAAAGAACCTTTTATTTTACAATTTTTATATAAAATTAGTAATACACTAATGCTCATTTAATATCTAACAAACTAGAAAAGTAAAAGAATTCATTTAACTACTTCATTATTCTTGTATTTAGAATCAAATTTAGAAATTGCACCTTTGTTTTATTGGATTGAATTTTGATCTCATAAAAATCGTCTATTTGTTTTTTGGTTTTTATTTCAAATTTTGGTCGCAAAGCTAATAAAGTTAACGAATCTTCAACTGACCATTAGGGGATTAATATCAAGTTGCCTAATATTTTAATTGTTAACATTTAAAATATTTGAAGTTTTTCATTCAATCATTAATAAAAATATGTCATGAAATTTTAATTATTATTACTTCATTTGAAAATTGATTTTCAAGATGAACGCTCTATAA